ATAAATGTAAGTTTATTTGTTCCTGAATAAGATAGGTATCTCGTAAGTCGTGTTATCAAACAAATTAAGTATGTTGCTGCAGGTACTTGCTTCGTATGAATGCCATTTGAAGTGTTCGCAATACTCTGTATTTAATTCACTTTGTCCACTTAAACCCCAGTACTCTTTGCCCGGGCTCTCTCGTACAATGCCTGGTCAATGTAAAAAAAATTTGTGTATTTAAATAATCATTCTTACATTGGCAAAATGTTCGGGTATTGTATTTGTATACAATGCCCGGATTTCCTACTTTGCCTGTAATATATTTATATATATAGGTATAATTACATATGAGCAGTTTAATGTCCAAGTTTTCACGAATACCTAAATATACGTTGGTCATCACTCATCAGTCATCGCTCATCTTACACTATTGTCGATTCTTCTTACTTACGACTTAATACTTAGTCCCAGCGTAGTCTTCACTCTACATATGGTCATAATTATATAAACTTTGCAAAAATAAACTGCAATTTGTAAATATATCTAATCATATAACATATTATATATTTTATAATATAAACACTTAAGAGGACGTAACACTGGCATTGGTTGTCTCCGTCTTACAAGTACGTAACATAGCAAATGTACGCTCAGCAGATCACGTGTTAGCAGCTTCAATAGTTTAAAAAATTGAGTGAATCGACCTCTTACGAAACTTGATGGTAAGAACATTATCTATGTTTGTTTGTATGTGGGTTCTTTACGATAATTATTCAGTTTTAAAGTGAGTATGAGCATTTTTAATTTATGCCATATTATATACTCAAAAATTACTAAAACATTGAACTATCGGAAAAAATCCTTCATACATACAGTCCTACAGATAATGTTCTTAAAATCAAGTTTCAAAAGAGGTCGATTCACTCAATTTTTGGACTAACGAAACTACACGTGATCTTCTGAGCATAAATTTACTACGTTACTCACTTATAACACAGAGATCCCAAATTCCAGTGTTACTTACTAGTTACTGTCCTCTTAACACAGTGAGTACTACATTATAATGATGCTTACAACTTAGGCAAGCAAAAATAATTTCGTAAAAATGTAGGTAAATTATTCTTGTTACGACATTTTGTGCGTCGATATTGAATGCCTATGACATTATAATTTAAATAGAATATCTGTATAGTATATGTGTCTTCAGTATACGTATGTAAATTGTATCGATAAAATTGCAAATTAGAATTAAGTGCATTGAAATAAAGATAACTAAACAAATTATATATTAGCTATTAAGTCAAGAATTCTCAACCTCTGTGTGTTGGTAGTCCCCTATTATTGCGGTTAATGGATATTATATTTATATAGAGCGTATTGTTGTCAATTGTCATATTATAATATTGTGCATAATTGGTAATACTATGTAATCTATCATGGTAACCGGGGAAAAAACCAATGATAAAAACCAGGTCTCCTGGTCAGTTGGATTATTGAACTAAACTTGCTGTAATTAGAAAATTAGAACTAAAGTCTATCGTGATTTGTTAACTATATTATTGGAACTCACGCGTAAGTTGAAAAAAATATTACCAAAATATCCACAGTTTTAAATGTTTTAATTTACTAATTGTTAATTTTAATTTGTGAATTATTTTTTAGTTTTTTCATGAACTATGTATGAAAAGAAAAGTAAATTTCTAAAATGGTAAGTAGGTAATAATTAATAAAATATAAAAGTCATTGATGAATACCTAAAATACGTATAAATGTACATAATATTTATTTTGATATATAGGTACATATGAATACATTTATAATATATTAAGTTCATTAAGTAAAAATATTGCGTAAAATCTTTATCTAAATATTCTAAAATTAAAAATATATTACGCGATTCTGCAGTTTTGGTCTCACTGATGTTAAATACTTATTACCTAACACTAGGTACTTGGTATACTGTATACATGTATATTTTGTGCACTGCTTCTTGCATGCCATATACTACATGCATAACAACATGTATGCGTGTATAAGCCCCTAGAGGAGTTCTTTAGCTCAGTAATATATAGATACACATACCCGGAAGAAAAAATAGTTAATTTTCGGTACTTTAAAAGTTTAAAATTTAAATGTATATTAAATGTTTTGTATGTTTATACATATAAAGCCACAAATAGGTTTAATATAATACTGGTACCAAGCATATAACATTTTTCACTCGCTATCGTATATCCAGGAATATATAAAAGAAAAAAACAACTATTCAAATCCACTTTTTAATTTCCACAGATAGGTATGCGCAATATTACTATGTTGAAGCATGGTGCATCAGTATATGGGTACGTCCAGCAGTATGTGCATATTATGATGTGCATAGGAATGTATATAAATTATTTTCAGTTTTCGGTGACTCTAAATGGATTCACTTCTTTTGTGCGTCGGGTTAGTAAGGTATTAGCTAAGATCTCTTATGAGTATACACCTATATTATGACTATATATTATAGGTAGGTTCAAGCACATGTTACGAAATATTTCCGATAACAAAACCGGGTTTGAACTCGACGGACACCGGTTTCTATTTCTTGATCTTGAAACTAAACATTTTATCTTAATGCCGGAGAATATTATAATATAATATTATTTTAATACACCTACTACTTTATATATCCAGCTGACTGCAATGATAAATTTCACTCTATAGACTTTAAGCGGCGAACGCTTCTCGAACTGTCGTCATAATATAAGCAACAGTTTGCAGGTTTATGCATGTGCGTTATATTAAAGACATAATATTGTACTATATACTGTTTCTAGTAGTGAAAATGGTAATTTTGTCTCTTTTAAATTACACAATATTACTATCTCTAATATCCATTAAGTACCTATATTATGTTACATAGTTAAGTCAATTAAAAATGAGTTTTCGAGATTATAATGTGCATAATGCATATGATAATAATAAATAATAGACATAATATAATATTAATATACTACACAATATGTATCGGCGTATCGCCTATCGGTATTTATATATATTATTATATTTATAGTAGGTACTGAACTACTGTGCAACATTATACCACCAGTCGCCAGGTAATAAGTGTCATTTCACCCATTATCTCTTAGTATAATTACATTTTTTTAGACTCATATCTATTCTTTTTTTATTGATTAAATATGCTTGGAAAATTGGTTATTACTTATAACTGTTATATAACATATCTAAATAGTTATCTCTCTATAAAGTGTAGTTTTTTTCATTATTGATTGATTTACAATTGCTAAATGATCTTAAAAAAATCTGTTTGCTTTAAAAATTGTGGTCCTACCTTATTATTTTGTGTAGTTGATCGTGAATATAGTTTCTTTTTCTTTATGTTTCATAATATTGGTGACATTAAGTTACGGCCCCCCCCCCCCTTTTTTTTGTACGTACCCAAAAAAAGATTCTAAGCCTAGATTGCGTATATAAACTATGTACAACTTTATTTATTTCTCAAAGTCAATATCGATGGAACTACCGTTGAACGGTGTTTAAGTTCGTGGTAAATGAAAAGAAATATTTTTAAAATAATGTCATTTTTTACAAAAAAGATAATTTAAGCAATAGTGGAATTTTTTTAATTTCTATCCTAAATATTTGTATAAAAATAACAAAAATTGTTTGAAGATAAATCATTATTATATACTTTTGAATACCCTGCAATAATGTATTAAATTATAACATCCAAGAGCTCATAAAAAACTTTACTCAGTTACTCTAAACTTATTCTTTAACTCCAGTATAAAAACAACGTATGAGGATCCGAGAATTATATATTTTTAATCTTATGTCAGAGCTTAATTTTTCTTATCAATAAACAATATTTATAGAAAAAGGGTAGGTACCTTTAAAGAAAGTGGAAAATGTCAAATCTCTTTAAAAATTCGTAGGTAACTAAAAAGAAACCAAAATATTTTTAAAATTATACCATGTCTAAACTTTTGAGGATTCCAACATATATTTTACAAAAGATTTAAGTACCTTGTTATTCGTTTATATTTACAACCAAAACAACCAAATCAATTGAATAAAAAATTATAGTTTAATAGCCTACCTATTTCAGTTTTCTATGATTTCTTTTAATTTTTTATTAATAATAACGTTTTTTTTTTACGTTTGGTCACAATTACACGAAATACCAACTATAACCAATTTGCTAGTAGAAACAGCCTTCGTAGTTGACGATTGAAGCATTTTTTACTAGGTATATATGAAAGAACACACATAATTTGTTAAACCAACACTCTTAAGGGCTAAGAGGCAGTTTTTATAACCAAAAAAGTTGATTAGACTTAGGTAAGTGTTAATGAGTACGTTAGTATTGAAATTATAAAAACGGTGTATCTAATGTTTTATTTTTATTAAATACTCGAAAAACATATAATTTGATTGCTATTTGTTGATATCACAGGTAAGTAAAATTATAACAAATTACAATATTACCTAAGTATTTAGGTAGACTATGCTACTGTTAAAGACAATCTGCCTTCTGTAGTGGTATATTTTGTTCCTAAAACATGTTGAGTAAAAAAATGTGAATCTCTCGACTCTCACAACCAATTTCTAAGACTAGATAAAATAATCGTCCTGAATCATGATTATTAATATTCTATTATAGTCAGCGATTCGCTTGTGTGGGGAGTGTGCACGAGATCAGATTGACGACCGCTAGATAGAGCGATCACGACGACGGTCCGATCTTTAGATCATTTTCAAATTGTGAATTCTAATTTACAATAATCTAAAATAATTAATATTATTATGTTCGCAGTAGTTATAGTAAATAATAATATCAATAATAGAAGTTATGGTCCGAACGAAAGAGGAAGGGCCGTCTCGCCTTTGTCCGTTCATTTCCTGTCATTGCGGCGCGGCGAGCTCTGCTCGTCTCGCGTCGCGGTTGGTCGATCGTCATCGCGACCTTGGGGCTCCTATCACCACCCCCCCATCACCGCCACCGATAACACAACAACAACAATAAGTAATAACACCGCAGTCTGCAGCAGCCGCGCTGTGCGTTTCGTGTACCGATGTCTGATGTTCACTGATTGTACGCCGTTTGCCTAACTCTGTCGTCTCGTTCGCGAATTGAGTATTAGTCGTCATTATTGATATTGTTTTAATATTGGGCACCGACCGATAACGGTTGTTAAAGCACAAAATCATATAGTATACCCAAACGAATAACCTGGACCCTACCAGGAAAGACGCGCTCCCCGGAAGAACCCTATATTATTGTAGTATCGAAAGCGGTTTCAAGTGAAAACAATTTATAATAATAGAAACATGGCAATCGGCTGTGGCGGACGTGCCGGCAGCGACTACAAATCGCCCGCCTAGTCGGAAGACGAGTGCTTCGCGGCGAGATAACCCGATCATTGGTAATAATAATAATAATAATATGTAAAAGGTATTATAATTAGCCGGTTTAATCATCATCGGCTGAACGCGAAGTGCGAATAGGTAGGTCGTAGGTGCAAGACAAAAACTGACTAGGTAGTAATAATATTAATAACTACTCTTAATTACTACCTATTTACCTACGCTCATTTATGTAAATATTGCGTATTGTCGTATTGAATAGTAAACATGGCGGTTAAGAGAGATACCTATAGAACTGCTGTGTGAGAGATATATAGAGAGAGAGAAGAGAGTGGCATGTGTGAGAGTCTATTAGAGACGATTATAAATCATTTATTTGCGTTTTAGATTAATATTGCTGCTCTTCTCATGTTATTATTATTGGGTACTTTTTTTTTCAGGTGAAGTGAGCTGATAAAAATAAAAAACAACTCGACAACCAATTCTCTGTTGTTGAGATTGCTGTGCGGTGTCAGAAGCATTCATAGCAGTCTTGGACATCCACCTCCCCGTCCAACACACACTTATACTTGGATTTTCTTTTATTTGAAAATTTCACATAATACATATCAAAATTGTATTCCTACGCTATGAGTGCATATCACATGAATACTGCTCCCGTTGTATACGACGTCCAGAACTCTACTCTGTTTGGTCACGGATTGTTTGGCGATTGTTACTCAAATATCATGGGAACGGCTGCAACAATGTTCCTGTCCACACAGTATCAGCCAGTCTTTATGTCTGTGATTGGGTCCATTGTCGTGGGCCTCAGTGGACTTTTCCCCCTACTCATATTGCCAGTCAATGACTCAATTTCTCTAAAAACTGGACGTAAGTATTTATATTCTGAGACAAACTTATTTTCTATTAATTCATAGTGAAACTCGAGGTGAAAAGACTGTTATGAAATCATATCGAACTAGGTTTTTAATCAAACTGAATAGTTTTGGTTTTAATCAATGTTTTTATTCTAAACTAGATAGTGATTGTTTAGTTGTTCTAACATTGACATAATATATTAACTGTTATCTCAAAAGTAATAATAAGATAAAGGTGCTCTTAGTTTACCAATAGAATTTTGTAATGAATGTTAGAATAGGTATAATTAGTTTATGTAATTTTTACTTGGTATACAGTACATCTTACTCTACTGGTGGTGTGATTATGTCCTCTATAATATAACATATAATATTAGCTTGATAGTTAGATTTTAGATATTAGCAAAAATGGGAAAATAATTATACTTATAAGAGTATAATACTTAAGTATCTAATAATTATCATTTTATTTACGTAGATTTGGTATGGTGGTTATTTGATTTATTGAATGCCTGACATGGATATTTTAATAGTCAAATGCATGTACTAATCCAAATTATTATAAGAATGTTCATTGTTCAAGTTGCTATTTTTCTATAGGTAAATTGTTATGTTTTCTAGGTCAGTCTTTGTCTATAAATCTTGTACAATTACTATGCTGTACATATTATAAATACAAATTATAAATTTCAAACAATTAATTTGTTATTTCACTTCAAATAATGTGTATATAACTTCTATAACTAGCCATATTTGTATATTATAGTGGCTTAACATGATGAATTAACCATTTTCAACACAATTCTTCTGTGAGAAGTAATATATTGTATTTTAATAAGTAATAACTAATAACCATATACCTGAATATGGTTTAAGACATTTATACAAAGTCTACTTTCATGTGAAGTATTAAAATTGATATAGGTATTTTGTATAAGTTGAGCTATATTTTTTAAGGTGTTCTTACAAATCATAATACAAAAATTGTGTCAACAAAGAAATCTATAATGGCCTTATAACCTTACAAACAAACTTAGCATAAATGTCCAAAATCCTCTAGTTGGCCTTGATGGTGATTGACAGTTGTGCATGTCTACAGATTAGATACACTTTCGATTAAATACATCCTGTTTGAGTTACAGACTTTAAGACAAATTAATTGTTCATTATTATTTAAACAGCATATTCAACAGACACTTTCACAGTTTCACGTTGATTATATTATAAAATATTGCTCACCTATCTACAAATTCAGTAAAAAAACTTGTTACTTGTGGTAGTACCACAGATAACCAATAATTTTGGCATTGAATAACTAAATAATATTAGTCAATAATGTGTGCATTCAGCCATACAATTAAAACTGTGGTTTTGAGTTAAGATCAAGGAATTGAAACTTAATTGAGTCTGTGTCTTTGTGAGTAACTATGTTGTAATCTATTGTATGATGCGTTGTACTTAATTACATGATAATGTCAGTAGTAATCATTAAACTAGCTTAAAGAAAAAACAACTTGTTCATGCGTATATTAATTACTCAGACAGCTTTATTTGAAATATTTTTTGAATAATTGTGTATTGTTCCATATGGTTTATATTGTTAAAATGTATATTCAAGTTTTAGTTAGGTACACAACAAACTCTAAGTCTAGAAAATAAACGGTGATGTTCAGTACATTTTTTGATTTGATATAATAATAAATATTATAATTTATAACTTATAAGTAGGATATTTTTGGGTATATTCATTGAGTGTATACAGCTTTTTGGGACTTTGGAAGTGAATAATGAAATTGATTTATTGCAATCAAATTTGCAAGATTTGGTTTTCTTTGTATTTTTGAGAATATTTCAAGGGTTTGAGAATTGAGAATATTTAGTTTCTTTAAAATAATTATCTTGGAATGTTTTGTAAATTGTGAGAAAAAGTACTAATTATTTATTTTCAATTATAATTATTAATTTTGAGGTGCCTAAATAACTTTTTTTTTTAGATCACCAATTATTGGATTGTGTTTGTTTGAAAATGGTTTTTAGTTAGTTAGTTGTTATGTTAATAATTGTAGGTACATCCAAAAACTTTGACATGTCCTCAATGATAGAACTATCAAGTCATCTCGTTTTTTTTCTTATTTTATATTTTTAATAAAAAAATATATATTTAAAATTTTCTTTTAAAAGCTTATTTGATGTTCATAAATTAACTATCCATAAAAATCATATTTTTTAATTTTTTAAGAGAATATAATTAGAACTTTTATACCTTTTAGACTTTTAAACCATATATTATTAATATTATTAGCATCATACTTCGACTTTTTCTGACCATAAACATCTGGATCCTACTAATAAGGATACACTACTAAGTAAATACTAAACCAAATAGTATAATAGTATTTAATATACCTAACATAAGTCTAATATTATTTTACGGCTTTATATAAATTAATAATACATTTATTTAGTCTTTAGATTTTGTTTGAATAGATTAGTTGTTATTTTTTCTTTCATTAAACTATAGCATTAATCTAATTCTAGTGAACTATTTATGTAATTTACATTGTCTTTACATTTTTACAAGGTTATTCAAATAACAAGATCATTTTTCTGTGACTATTACAAATATCTGGCATGTTTCAATTATTGAAATTAATTTTTGGATTCATAATTAGTTACTTTTCAAACTTGAAACTATTATAATTTCCACATTAAATATCGCCTTTATATTGACGCAAGTACTAACTAGTAAATGTAATAGATTACAGCTGTTGTTACACATGTGTTACAATTTATGTTAGTTTATTAAAAGGTAATTACTAATTAATTGAAATTAAAATTGTAAAATATTGTTACACATGTTAAAGCAGGTACTTACGTCATACTATACTGATTTTATTATAATATAGTTTTTCTGAGTTTAATTACAACTATGGATGTGACCAAAAGACATTTGTTAATCAAATATATTATTAGAATTTAGAATAGGTATCTTGAAAATTTTGTTTATTTGAATTATAATTATTGGCATACTGGTTTTTATGTCGAAAGTTTTAACACGGGGCTTTAATAATAGTTTTGAATGACTCATTTATTTATAAAAATATTAGCTCTAGCATTATATAAAATTTAGTAGTAAACAAATAGAGAAAAAACAATTGGATTTTTTTTATTTTATTGACTGCGACTATTTTTGATTTGTTAAATAATATTATCATTAATTTTAAATATTACATAGGTAATCTACATAGGTAGGTATTGTAGAAATATAATAATTGAATAGATAAACCTTCATTCAATTGTTATAAATAAATAGAGGAAATAAAAGTTGATTAGTGGTTTTAGTTGAAATTTTATTTCAAATTATTGTTGATATGTATTTAAAAATAAATAAATCTATAATAACTTTGAATTAGAATATATTTGAATAATGAAACATTTTTATAGCTGGCAGTAAACATTTACGTCTGTTGTTGAGTTTTTCTGTTGGTGGTATGCTGGGTGATGTATTTTTACACGTCTTACCTGAAGTATGGATTTCATCTAAAGGTATGTTTCATAGTAAATGTCTGTTACAATTGTCTGATAATCACATTTTATTTGTTTATTTTTTAAAGATAGACATGGAAACTGGATACGGGATGGCTGGTGGGTTCTGGCGGGTTTATTAGTATTCATCATAGTTGAAAAATTGTTTTCATTATCAGACGATAAAGAAACTAATGAAACAATTCAAAATAAAATGGCGTCTACTGACATAAACTCAGTCAACAACAACCATAAGGATCTAGGAAAAACAACTAAGTCCAATAATGATGTACTGACCAAAGGAAAAAATCACATTCTAGTGAGTTATAATTAGTATTTATGTTGAATTAACATACAATGACCGTAATATAACTGTTTGATGTATTGTTGTAGATAAGTGGTTATTTAAACTTATTGGCCAATTGTATTGATAATTTCACTCATGGTTTGGCATTAGGTGGAAGTTTTCTCATATCCCCAAGAGTTGGTATGTTTACCACATTGGCAATATTAGGTAATGCAAAAAATATTTGTTAACCGTCCTATAAAGACTATTGAATAGTATGTATATAAAAATGTCATTTATTTTTCATTATAGTTCACGAAATTCCACATGAAGTTGGTGATTTTGCTATTCTTTTGAAGTCTGGGTTTAGTCGTTGGCAAGCTGCATGTGCTCAAGTATATACAGCTTCTGCTGGCATATTTGGAGCCCTTACGGCCATCTACTGTAGTGGAGTGTCTGGTGATGTTGGTAAGTAAATCACATTTTCCTCGTTTTATTTTATTTTAACTTAAAAATGTTAGTTATGGCTCGTTAAATATTTTTTTTAGCCTATAGAAGTAACTATATAGGTTATGAAATAATTGAAATTTGTAAAGAATAAACTTTGGATAAACTCTGTATCCTTAGACAAACTTATTTTTTTGGCAGCTTCATTATTATTCTGTGGATAAGAAATTTGGATATTAAATATGACTATAAAACAATCAAAATATTTATGTATACTGCATTACTGAAAAAATGCTCCAAGATTAATTTATATAAACCATAAACTTTGTAGGTACTATTATAATAAAATAACTACTTTTATCTTTAAATCTACTCTAAATTACTTTTTTTAGTTTGACTGTTTGTACTCGGATTCATGTATAGCATATTGCACATTGAATTAATTCTTATGGATAATGTATATATTTACTACTTGAATGCATGACTGAAAAAGCTATTTTTATTGTACTGTACTTGTATTTTATTTTTTAGAGGCAAAGACATCTTGGATTATGCCGTTTACTGCTGGCGGTTTCCTTCACATATCTTTGGTTACTGTTTTGCCCGAGCTTCTACTTGAAGAGAACCCAAGAGAATCAATCAAACAGTTTACGTTAATAATAGCTGGAATATCAGTTATGTTTGTCATGTCTCATCTGTTTGAATGATAAAACATAATTTTTTTCCCTGTCCCACTCACCCATCTTGTATCCCATTTACAAAAGACTATAATTTAATATTATTATTATTTGACATTTTTACTGTATAATCACATCATTAAGTACCACCTACTACTATCTGTTTAGTCAATTTAAGTTAATTATGTATTGTTTTTATATTATTCATGAAAAACTACCGATTTCTGAACCAATTTCTTTATAATGTTACCATAAGACACAGGCCAACACATTACTATTCATATTTAAAAAAAAATCATATCCTTAGAGATTAATAATTGGTTTTATTATGGCTGTGCATTGTTGATTTTTTTTTTTGTCAATACTGCATTATTTTGATAAAAAATTTTTAAGTTTAACACAATTTATTTTCATTACCAAGCCATATTATATTTAAGTTATTTATGTAAATATTTATTTGTTATCAAATATTATGTACAACTAACCTTAACTATTTATTTTACTACTTAAAAATGTATTCTGTCGATTTCTTGCTTTAAGAACAAATAAGATTTGTATTTATTTTTGTAAATATATATATTTATATGTATGTCACATAAGCAAAAGTTTTATAAAAAAAATTACAAACTATCATCTTCGTCAGAATCTGTTTCTTCTTCTGCGTCTTTTAACCATTCAATTAGTTTATTTGCTTTTTCTCTAATGGTTCTTGCAAACTGAGTGTCTTCTTCCTTTTCGTGCCATTTGAGAATTGATTCTTCGCTCAGTATGTTCATGTTGTATAAATGATGAATTACCTTGACTATAACTGTGTTGAGGAGCTCCTCACCTTTGGCAATGTCTTCAATTGCAGACAGACAATCTTCACATGAATCCGTAGATTTGATGTAATTCTTCAGTACTGGCAGAAAGTAGTCTAATTTAGACTGCAGTTGTGCATAATACCGTACTTGGTTTAGAGCCTCGAGCTCGGCTTTACTGTTCAGTGTCAACATTGCTCGGATTACTTGAAAATTTGCTTCTCTATAGTTGATATTGTATGCATACCGTGATGAATTAATTTCTAATATTAAGTTATCACAGTGCACGTGGTCTTCAAAACCTCTGATCAATGAATCCACAACCTCAGAGTAGAACATGCACGTGTCATCGGGAATGGAAGCTGCGACTGATGCAGTGTCATCATTGTCTGACGAAGAGCCACTATTGATTGACCAAGTTCTCTTACGAAAGGTCAAGCCTCTCACATCTTGTTCGTCATCCGAATCAGAATCGTTTTCCGCGTCGTACGCATAGGCTTTAGCACTTAACTTTTTGGACTTGTTCGTTGAGTCAGAACTGAGTATGCGTACCTGATTCAAATCTGTGTTTGGTTCAATTACGACTCCGCCGCCAAGAATACAGCTGTCTGAGATGGTGCTGTTCTCTTTGATCGTACAGTTTTCTCCAACAACCGAAAACCGTATGACGGATCTGTCCATGATGGTCACACCATCGAAAAGGTAAGAGTTTTCTATTGTGACATTATTGCCGATTGTACAATTTTTGCCAATGACCGTGTTGGATATGCGAGTGCTGCTGCCGAATTTCGAGTCAGATCCCACGACCGTATCATTACCCAAGTTGCAGGTCAGGGCCAGCTTCAAGTTCTCGCCAATGTAGACGTTTCCGTACCTGAGGCTGTATTTGTCAACCACTTCTGGAACCTGGGGGTAAGTCCACCGATGCAAAACGTCCCGGGTGACCCGCTGGTACGACGGCCAATCGAATACCTCGCCGGCGTACCCGTCACCGTCCACCACATGGGCGTAGAGTGTGCTGTTCAATATCTCTTCGTTAATGAGTAACCCTTTGACAAAGTCGTCCTTGGTTTGGAAGTCAAAGTTGTCGGCGAACAGCGGCGGCACGGCCGTCGAACAGATAACCACGTTCGTGTCGACCAAGTCACGCCTGATGTCCACCGTGCTGTCGAGCACCAGCTCCAGTGGTAAGCAGATCTTACCTCGGGCCCTATTGTGAAACAGCACCCTACCCGTGTCGGAGGACAACACGATGGTCTGGTCCGCAGTCGAGGAAGCGTTCGGGTCACCGGATCGTTGATAGACAATGGTCATGACGGCGCCCCTGTCTTCACTTTGCCGCAGGCTCTTGAAACGCTTGACGAGCGGCAACAGCGGCAGTCGGCCCACGACGTTACCCCACAGCAGCACGAAGTCGTTTCGGACAAGCGCACATGCGTCCAAGTGCCGGAGCACGTCGCCAAATGACCGGCATGTGTCCGAAGTGGTGTAGACGACGTTCAGCCGCCGGGCGCCTGAAGCAAGCTGCACGGAAGCCTTGATGCGGTCTGCGCTTCCACTGGAACAGAACACGATAACTTCCACGATACCCGAAGACTCGAGCATGTCTAGCGTGTAGTGGAGCAGCGGCCGGTTGACGAGCGGCATCAGGCACGCGCTGTCTCCATCGGCGGCCGGCCAGAAGTTCTTGTGGAAGAAGCTGGCCACCACCACAGCCTGCAGCACGTCCTGCTTCTGCACCTTGTTGGTGCTCATGGCGGGCGGCGACCAGGTTACACTTGCTGCTCCGGAATACCGGATGAAGAGGTTGACGGAGTGGATAAGGCCGACGAAGTTTCCAGGCTCAAAGCACTACGGAGTTCGTCTTCGAATCGCTACGTACTTTTTTAATTTTTTGGACACATAGACGTGATACGCTGATAACGCGCCAGAACTACAACAAGTCAACACATGATACTGTGGCGCGATATACCAGTGATAACCATAGATAGAATAAATCAAATTAATGAATTGATAACTAACTTCTATAAACAAGAGTATTATGAATGATGTGAAGCAAAACATGTCGGATTTTGTTTCCAATAGCTTACAACGCAATTGATAGATAGCGCTGATTTTCAAGTTTTTTTAAATCTCACCAATTGAATATTTTGATATTTCATAATACTTTCTACTTAGAAACTATTTTAAGAACCAACCTAAGATGTTGATGTGTTAAACAATTAAAGTATTGATAGTACTGACAATTTCGTCATTAGAAATTACTACATGTTTATAACTTATTATAATAATAATATTTACTATTATGTATACGTATATTATACTGTTATACGTATTATTTACATAATATTATACACTTAATATTATATATTATATTATAAACTTATAACAGAAATATATATTATTGGTAGGGATAATGTATATTATTGGTTGAGAGGCAACGCCTCACCTAAAATGTATAAGTAAAAAATACTCAAAAAGTATACTTCTTGGCTCACCGATAACACATATTTCGATAATAATTTTTAACGTTTTTATAATTTTATTTGAGAAAAAATTCTTTTCTGCCAAATTTTTTAAGGGGCTGGAGCGTAATCCATTCTAAAGAGTAAAAACTAAGCATTTTATATTGCAGTATATTTGGGCCTCGTCAATGTGTTGGAAGTAAATGAAGATTAGTGTGTGTAATTCGTAAAAGTGTACTTTCCGGTACTTTCCGAACTACACTATTGTCTATTCGTCTAAAACCCAGTTTGATATTTTGGCCGTTGTCATTAAGACATGCTGCAATTTCCCCGAATCTACAATAATACGAATGACGATAACATAATAATATTATTATTATTTATACCTAATTAGTAAATTGATTTATAGCTAGATAACAAGACCACAATTCTAATAGCCGGCTACCGTAATGTACCGCACACAATATATTTCCTCCACATACATTGAAGTGGCGGTAATTTTAGCCAGACACCGTCTACGGGTACTCGTACTACGATGACACCTCATAATAATTTTTAATTCGTCATTAATATATTTCTTCTTTTATTAAGCTCGGCAAAAACATAGTAAAAAAATATAAAAACCAGAAAAAATGAAAATGTCAAAGCATAAATAATTTAGTAACGCATACAAATTCTGGTTCAAAATTAAAATTAGAACATTATATTGGGCGCAATGAAAGTCGTGAGCTATGTTTTCGACCGAAAATGAAACACGCTCCAGCGCCTCCAGCCCCCCTTAGAAAATAAATTAAATTACCACCTTACTCCTTTAATTCAACTCTAACCTCCAATCAATGATCTTTTATGTAAACATGGCGAGTATGTTGGCCAATCAAAGAAACTTTACTCCTTGTCAAACTTCTTCATCAGAGAAAATGTCAAATATTTCATAATCAATGCTATTGTCAATAATCTTATACTAATAATAAGTAATAACCTCAGGGCCGTATTAGGGCATAGGCACTGTGTCTAGGGCCTACGAAAATGAAATGTATGGCTACGATTTTTATGTAATATTTTTTTTTTAAAGTTAATTAACTATCTGTAGATTTTAGCACAACAAATAAAATATTTTGTATAACATTTCTCATATATTAAAAACTCAATGTTCGTTATCGTAATTCGTAATAATTACTTATTGAAATCAGATTGGATAAACCATAAACCGATAAAATGCATACGGTATACAGGCAATACTGTGTATCATAGGCGAATCTACAGGGTGTGCCTGGTGTGCCAGGGCACACCCTGCGACTCGTATAAACCTGTGTATAGGGCCCATAATACTCATTTCAGTTACAATGGTATTGAGTCTAAACATTAAACAATTTATATTTTAATTTTAAGAGGACGTGATACCTGCATGTGTTGTCTCTGTCTTACAAGTGCGTAACATAGCAAATTTTACGCT